TTGTTTTTGTTACTGATTTACAGCATCCGCAGTTATTTTGGTTTTTAAAGGTTTATCTTATATTTTCTGAAGGGTTTATTAATACAAGTGAGAAACCTTCATCACTGTGGGCACACTTTGTCTTAGAAAAGAAGCTACATTATTAAACTGTAAATTTCCTGAGTTTCTGTAAAATGTTTTCCCATTGCAAATAAGCAATCAAGAACTGGCTATTGACTGGGATCTCCTTTTTCCTAAGATTACATTTCCCTGTAGTCTGCTACTTGGAGCACAGTCTCCATTAGTTATGATAGTTCTAATGAAGCGTATCATAAAAACAAATCTGACTTCAAACCAAACATACTTTGACAGCTGAATGTCCAAAACCCATCAATTTGTTTGAGTCACCATATTGTTTTTTCGGACATAGGATTTCAGTTCTTCACCTCATTCACTTATGCCAGACTTTGTTGTATAAATAGTACCATTCCTAGGATTTAGGAGGGACTGTATATGAGATGGTTTTGACAGACAGTGGTCTTGCTTTACAGCACTGCCACCAAAAGGGGGGACCACCACAGTGTACACCATTTGCCAAATCATGGGCTCAATTTACTCAATCCATGATACAATTGGGGCATATAACTTTGTGCCTTCTCAAAAATTGTTTCAAAATTTTAGTGACAAATACATTTCCTTGTCTTGTAAATCCCTCTTAGAAACTCACAAATTCCTTATATTTTAGATACTGAAGTAGAGGTTTTTGATCAAGAAGTATTTCATTGGAAGGTCACAATCTGAGACATTAACTCTATTTCTCTCTGCGGATACTGCCAACTTCCTGATTATGTCACATATATTTATTTTTTCTAATTTCCAGGATATGCAGGAAGTTTCTTTTGCATCAAAAATGTTAAACTTTTTCAGGGAATGAAACTACGAAGTCAAACAGAAGAGTGAAGCTGTACAGTTTGGTTCAGAGGCGTGGTCAATACAGAATTGTTAATGGTTGAACCACAGATCCTTTGTAAATTAGAACAAAAATATTTGTTTTTATATATGAAGTATGTGTAAGGTGTCTGAATGTATCAATTGCTCCTGTAGTTTTATTGCAAATTGCATTTGAAGCAATCTCTTGTTTACCTGATCATTTTATGTGTAATGACTTATTTAAAAATGGATTTTGAAGTTTTCTATTTTCAATGTGGGGAATGAAGAGTTGAATAAATTTATGGGAAAAATGTTTAAAGGCCCAAATTGTTGTATGTAATTTTCAATGAAACCTAGGTTTCCTGGCTGTGATCTTCCATTGGCAGGCACCACTGATCCAGTTAATGAGCAATTACAGCAAATTTCTATGCTGAACATAAAATAGGGAGAATTTTATGGCTAAGTGTTCCTAGTACATTACATATGATGGAAAACAGATCAGAAATTAAGTATGGTGGTCAGTAAACCTTGGATGATTTTCTAATCATTGAAAACCTCAGTTTTTCAATGGAAATTCAAAATGTACCATCCAACTAGTTGCATCAAGAAGTTTAGACACTGGGCAGTACAGGAATACTCCTGACCATGAGAATAATTATACTGTTTATGCGAGTAGTCCATGCTACTGTACTTCAGAAATTGTCTATCAATATGCATTTTCATTATTTTCCTATATCTATTAAAATGTTTATGCAATTCTCTGCTTTTTGTTTCAGAAATGTCCTATCCATGTAGGCATTTAACCTTTGATACCATAATACTCAACCTTTATCACAATTTGTGTAACAATTATATTAAATTCTTTTGAATATCAATATAATAAATTGCATAATATTTGCAGCACTGAAACAGGTAATTTGGTTCAATAGGTTTGTGTTTATTCTTCACTTAAGACTCTTTTTCATTTTTTATCCAACCTAATCAACATATCCTTCTATTCCTTTCTCCCTCATGTAACTATGTAATTGCTCCCTAAATGTAGCAAAGGATATTTGATTCAACTATGTGGCTGTGGGTTTCACATTTGGATCACTCTTCAGTAAATGGAACTTTTCCTGAATTTCATATTGAATTTAATAATTACATATCTATAGCTTCTAGTTCTGGTTTCTCCTACAAGTGGAAACATTTCTTTTATGTCTAGCTTAACAATCCTTTTCATGATCTTAAAGACCTCTATCAGGTCATCCCAAACCTTCTCTTACACAGAAAAAAGTGTTTTAGCCCAATTATCCTGATCTGTATATAGAACTGAGAGGTTACACCATTTACTGTATTCTCTTTGTTTATAAGTGTGACACTGTCCTTGCATTTATTTCAAATCAAATACAACCTTCACTTTGTCTGGACTAGGTACACATCAAGTATACACTCTTACTAAGGCAAGATACATTACCAGTTGTATTGGGCGTAATGACATGATACAGCTGTCATTTCCTCCCCAGTCAGTGTAGTTTCTATACACTCCCTTTTCTAGAATGTACTGCTCTCCACAGTAATGTTCTTCATGATACACCACCCATCTAATTTAGAGATACAAGTTGAGGGTTAGTTTGTGAAATGGCACTTATAACATCCAATTCTAGACAAATTGAAAATATACTTACACTCCATTTTTTACTTCAATTGATTGAGTCACAGTTCCATGTCCTATATTTTCCAAGTTTGGAATATCATGATTAACAAAAACAGTATTGTCACCCTTTAAATTTGCTTCCACAAATAAAGTGATTTCAGGCTTCATATAATCCTGGTGGAAAAGGACAGTTAAAATGTCATCACAATAAAAAAAATCCACACTATCCAATGAGGACAGACTTTGTACAATATTTACTTTATCATGAATGAAACCAAATGAAGATGCATCTTTCATAAAGAGATGTTAAACTACTGGCTCACAAATCCCCAGTTAGGTTGCAGAAACAGCGTTTGTTGTCATGAGATACCCCTCCACTTCCAAAACAGCGATAATGACTGTGGAGAGAAGACTCTAGTGGGACCCACTTGATCAGTGCTCTCAGACAGCAAAATAGTGAACAAAACCTCTTTCACATTAGGAAACCCTTATAGTGGCAAGTGCCAACCAGGTCCAGCTTGCAGAATTTCAAATTTTTCTGTGTTTCTGCTCTTTTCTGCCTGTTGTACAGGCAGTAGCCATTGTTGAACACTATCTGGATAGAGGCTCCAAGGTTGTAAAGAGCACAGGATGAACTCTGGATGGGTGTATACAATGTTCATCACAGAGTGGCTTAAGAGTCCCATTACTGACACAGTTGACAAAGTCCTAAAGAGGATGGTGCTGACTGGGTTTGTGGAGATTGTGAGGGAACACAGGAGTGCAAAAAAACACACTTGACTTTTCCCTCACCGATTTATTTGTTGCAGCTGCATCTTTCCTTGACAGTATTGGTACTGCATAATCCTTCTGGACACAAATTCCCAACTTCACACTGAGGATATTCTTCATGGTGATGTGGCACTGCAACCATGCTAAATGCAATAGATTTTGAACAGAAGTAGCTACTCAAAACTGGGCATCCATGAAGTGATGTGGACCATTATCAGCAGCAGAATTGCATTCAATCACAATCTATAACCTCATGGTCTTGCACATTTTCTACCACTACCAGAAGCTGGAAGATCAACCCTGATTCAATGAAAAATGCAAGGGGACTTGGTAGAAGCAGCACAAGGCAAACCTAAAAATGATGTGTCAATCTAGTGAAGATACAGCACGGGACTATTTGTGTGCCAATCAATGTAAGCAGTACGCAATGACAGAGAAAGGAGCTCCCACAATCAACAGATCTAACCTCTCCAGTCCTGCCACATCCAGTCATGAATATGGTGGGCAATTAAATAACTCAGTAGATGAGGAGGCACAACAAAAATCCCCATCCTCAATCATGGGGGATTTCAGCATATCAGTGCAATAGACAAGGCAGAAGCTTTGGAAACATCTTCAGTCAGAAGTGTGGAGTGATGATACATCTCGGCCTCCGTTTGAGGTCCTCAGCATTACAGATGCCAGTCATCAACAAATTTAATTCACTCCACGTAATATCAAGAAGTGGCTGAAGGTACAGGATATTGAAAAAGCTTTAGGTCCTGCCGATATATTGACAATGATAATGAAGACTTGTCGTCCAGAACTAGCTGATCTCTTAACCAAGTCGTTGCAGCTTAGCTACAACATTGGCATTTACCTGACAATAAGCAGGATTAAAAAAAAACATCCTAGCCAACTGGTATACTACCAGCCCACTCTCGATCATCAGTAAAGCAATGGAAAATGCTGGCGACAGTCCTACCAAGCAGCACAGACTCAGCAATAGCCTGCCCACTTATACTCAGTTTGGGATTTCCTTAGGGCCACTCATTCCCTGACCTCATTACCAGCTCTAGTCCAACCAGGAACTGAAAAGCTGAACTCTAGTGGTGAGATGAGAGTGACTACCTTTGGTATCAAGGCAGCTTTTAACTGAATGTGGCACAGGATATCGAGCAAAACTCCATTCAGCAGCAAACAGGAAAAACACACCACTGATCATCACCAGTTAGCGGGGCAGCTGAAATGCAACCTATGGGTTCAATTCTCGTACCAGCTGATGTCACCACGAAGGCCCTGCCTTCTCAAGCTGCCCCTTGTCTCTGGTTCAACCTACCACTAGTCAGCTCTCTGTAATGAGAGAGCAACCTATGATCCTCTGGGAAACTGGTGACTTTCACTTCACTCTCACCTGACACAAAGGAAGATATCTGTGGTTGTTGGAGGTTAACCCTCTAAGCTCCAGGACATCTCTGCAGAAGTTCCTTAGGAGAATGCCCCAAGCCCAACCATCAACCTTCATCAACCTTCCCTCCGTTATCATGACAGAAATGTGGATGTTCTATAATGATTGCACAATTTCCATTACCATTCTGGAGCCCTCAGCTACCGAAGCAGAACGAAGTAAGATTTTGACAGCATTCAGGTTTGGCTATTGCTGATTAGTGGCAAGTAACATGAGTGTCAGATAATGACCAGCTCCAAGAAGAGAGAAAATCTAACCATCTCTCATTGGCAATCAATACTGGCACTATTATTGTCGAATCCCCCCGTCAGGGTGTCATCATTTATCAGAAGCTGAACTTAACCAGCTATATAAATAGCATGGCTACAAGACCAGGTAAGATTTTGGGAACTCTGCAGGCAGTACCCCATCTCAAGACTCCCAAAAGTCTGTCCACCATCTATAGAGCACAGGTCAAGAGTGTGTTGGAATACTCCCACTTGCCTGGATAAGAGCTGGTCCAACAACACTCAAGAAACTTGACACCATCCAGGACACATGGCCCACTTGACTGGCAGCCAATCCAACACCCTCAATATCCACTCACTCCACCACCTACACACAGTGGCAGCTGAAGATGGTTGGGCTTGGGGCACTCTCCTGAGGAACTCCCGCAGAGATGTCCTGGAGCTGAGATGGTCAAACTCCTACAACCACAAATATCCTCCTTTTTGTCAGGTGAGAGTGAAGTTTGTATGTTTTTTGTTTCCTTTATTTATTCACAGGATGAGGGCATCACTAGCTAGGCAGCATTTATTGCCCAGCCCAAATTGCCCAGAAGGCAGTTAAGAGTCAACCTCACTGATGTGGGTCTGGAGTCACATGTAGGTCAGATCAGGTAAGGATGGCAGTTTCCTTCGCTAAAGGACATTAGTGAACCAGGTGGGTTTTTCCTACAATCGACAACGGATTCATGGTCATCATTAGATTCCTAATTCCAGATATTTTATTGAATTCAAATTCCACCATCTGCTGTGGCGGAATTTGAACCCAGGTCCCCAGAATGTTATCTGGTCTCCAGATTAACAGTCCAGTGATAATACCACTAGGCCATCAACTCCCTTGGTAGTCATCTACTTCTGCTTTAAAAAAATTCAATAACCCTGCCCCCACTGAATTATGATCTGCAAGATGCACTGCAGTAACTTACACAGTCTTCTTCAACAGCACTTTCCAAACTCATGACCACTATCTTAAAGATGATCAAAAGCTGATTAAACTATTCCAATTGTAATAGCAATGCCTATGCATGAGACAGGATATAACTCCGATCACCAGAGATGTGTTCTGGTGCAAGGATGGGAATAGAGACTGAAAGAATACATTTGATATGCATAGGAATGAATCAAACAACCTGATATAAACAGTAACTCACTGCCTGAATATATCGCATGGATTGTACTGTACTGTCAAATCCACCCCACGCCTGCCAGTCCTCATACTCTCCTTCCTCCAGTAGGTACTGGTGTCCACTGTAACATTCTTTTTCATAACAAACCCACCTGAATTGTAAAGAAGAATAAATATATTATATTGTTTAAAACAATGTTTTTCACAGGGATATGTTACTTTTTAAAAATTTAAACAGCTTTTCTTCTATATATTACAGATACACATTCACTTTCATCATCGCTGTAAAACTGACTGTTGCAGATAAACCATTTGTTCATGCTTAGTATTTATCTTAGTTGGAAAGGAAATAGAAAATTGATGGCCCATGCATTACATACATTTGTGTCAAGAGTGAAAATTGTCTCAAAGAGCCAGTAGGATATTTCTCAATCAGTGTACAGTTAAGTCAGAGAATTTTCTTTAATTTACACATGCAGCTCAATATATATTCCTGCTTTTTCTCAAACATGCTTTACTATTTTTACTGTGGTTGTCATACTACTGTAGGTAAAGATTTGATGTTTATATATAACTGAATGTATATACAACTGAATTAGATTACCGATGATTATCACAATGGGAAATGAGTGGATGACTTAAAAGTTAAGTAATCAGCTAAAATTTTATAGGACTATTGTGATATCTGTTTGCAATGTATGCATTGTGTATCAGAGCGCAGTTAAGAGTCAACCACCAAAATTGCTAGGGGTCTGGGGTTACATGTAGGCCAGACCAGTTACGGATGGCAGTTTCCTTCCATAAAGGGCATTAGTGAACCAGATGGGTGTTTGTGACAATTGAAATGGTTGGTATAAAAGCATTTTTTTAAATTTCAGATTTTTATCAATTCAAATTTCACCATCCCACCATGGTGGGATTTGAACCCATGTCCCCATAACTGTGGCCTGGGATTCTGGATTACAGTACTACTCCATCACTATCTCCCCTTATTCATGAGTCACTAAAATCTGGTGCAGGTATAGCAAACAATTAGGAAAGCAAACAATATATTGACTAATGTCCTTTAGGGAAGGAAACTGCCATCCTTAACTGATCTGGCCTACATGTGCTTCCAGACCCACAGCAATGTGATTGATTCTTAACTGCCTTCTGGGCAATTAGGGATGGGCAATAAATGCTGCCTAGCCAGCAATGCCCTCATCCTGTGAATGAATAAAGGGGCTATTGGCCTTCATCACATGGGTATTTGAGAACAGGAGTAAAACTTTTGTTATAATTGTATAGAACCTTGGTGGGACTACACTTGTAATATTGTGTACAGTTTTGGACACCCTATCTAAGGCAGGATGTACTGACCATTGAGGGAGTGCAACAACCATTCAGCACATTAATCCCTAGGATTATGATGAAAGATTGACAAAACTGGACCTGTATTCTCTACATTTCTGAAGAATGAGAGATGATTTCATTAAAACTTACAAATGTGATACAGAGAGTGACAGGATAGATGCTGTAAGAACTCACCTGGCTGATAAGTCTAAAACTAGAGGATACAGTTTCAGAATAAGATAGCGGCCATTTAAGACTGAGACAAGGAGCAATTTCTGTGGTTGGTTCGCTCACCGAACTGGTTCGTTAGTTCGCAGACGTTTCATTACCTCTGCGAACTAATGAACAGCTCAGTGAGTGAGCCAAACACAGCATCCAAAACCTGAGCTACAAGAACCTTAGAGGAGCAATTTCCTTAATCAGAATGAATCTGTGAATCTTTGGAGTTCTCAACCCAATCAATCATCAAGTAAGGTCAAGGGAGAAACTGATCATTTTTGCTGACAAGAACGGATGTGGAATTGGTGGGGAAAAATGGAGTCAGGGCAGATAATCATCGATGATCTGTTTGAATATACAGGCTTGATAGACTGAGCAGCCATTCTCCTGCTCTTATTTCCAAAGTTTATAAGAAAAATAATTCTAAAAACAACCACCGTCAGTTCCATACCAGTAGGAGTTACAGTCTGGTGAACAAAATGTGTGAGATGTTAATCTAAGCATCAATGTAATTTTCTGTTGTAAGGGCGTGAGTCTGGAGCTCTCTTCTTCACATAACAGTGGAGGCAGGGTTATTGAATATTTTTAAAGCAGAAGTAGATGACTACCAAGGGAGGTCACGGTTATCAATGCTAGGTGAAAACGTAGTTTTGAGACCATAAAGAGATTGGACAAGATCTCATTGAATAATAGAGTAAGCTGTGGGAAGTGGGGTGGGAAGCCTTCTCCTACTTTTGTTTTCCTAGTTGGCAAAAAGAAATCAGAAACTGATCATCAAGAATTCCAGGATTCATTTCATCGTTCTATGGTTTACATATGTTAAAGTTTAGAATTAAGATTTGTCATTTTTCTCAGATTACCTACCGATTTATTGACAGAAAGTATTTACAAAACATTCATTCTTACCTCTGGGCAAGGATTAAACATAACATCTATTTTTATTTTATGTGTCAAATTTTAAATGTTTGCTTTTAATTATTGGCGGCTGACAGTAATTTAATAGATACAGGTAGAATGAGTTATTGACTTTCAACAGTGTCAAAGGGCTAAATTATCAACAATGGATTCTGCTTTTATTTATTTACGATCATTTCAGAAATTTAGCTGAGTCAAGCTTGTTGCTTTGTCCAAACTACTTCCTGTCAATGTTGCTGTTAGGTCTATACTTGTGAACAAAATTACTTTAAAAATATGAATGAAATAGAAAAAAACTTGACATTCACATTAGAATTCCAGTCATCGATTCAAAATAAATAATTATGAAATATATGCATATCTAAATATGATTTTGTACACACATAAATATATACAAAAATACTGTAGTTTGTCTCATTAAAATTATTTTCTAACAATACTCACACTCCACCAAGCACTCGTATTGAACCTACTCCTTTAATGTCATTAACATTTAGGTCAGGAACATCCTCCCAAAATGTTTTCAAATTTGATGCATCTTTGCAAATTTCCTTGGAATGTCCATTAAAGAATGATTTTTCAAATATGATAACCTAAATACAAAGCAATAGCAGTCATATTTTATGAAGTTTAGGTGAATAGGGTTAAGATCAGTTTTTGCTTGGTGTATTGGTTCACAAGAATTTCAAATTCTCAACTGTTAAAGAATCTGATGAATGTCATTTTCTGATTTATTTTCAAAGATTCTCCAGAAATTTGTAGGTGGGAATGTTCTACAATGAAATTATACTGCAAATCTAACCAAAACAAAAATTATACAAACCACAGTCCTTTGGAGGTTGCAGAACACCTGGTGTAAATATCATTTAATTGATTTAAAATGAACATTAGAACCTATTGTATTTGGCCTTGATCGATTGTTGTGATCATCATTATTAAAGTCAGAAGATCAATGTAGATGAGAAAGACCATTCATTCCAGTTTCAAGGAGAAAAAAGCAATTTTATCACATCAGCCAACATTTTTTGATGACTTCAAAGCTTTTGTCTCCATTATTATGTGCAGACACCCTTTAACTGTGGTTTGACAAAGTATCCCTTGATATTTATTCTATATGCAGCAGTACAATTGTGAGTTCATGTACTATTTTTCCGTTGTCAAGGTTTGTCTTGAGGCAAAGCTCAAGATTTACTTGGATTCTAATTTCCCATTGGTTCTGAAGGAGATTACTGCACTATGCCCAGGTTTTTGCCAACATGCAGAACCTCTCTGCTTTGGCAAAGATGGCAGAAGTGGTCAAAAACTGTTAGTCCCGTCTCTGAAGAAGGCACTTCCCATTTTCATGGGAGAACAAAGTGAGTGAGGCACATTTCATTCATTTGCATTTTATCAAAGCAGCTAGCCATTTTAATTGTTATCGGTTCCCACTGAAGTGGGATTTTCATTGCCTTGGAGTGTGAATTGAAAATTGTGCAGTTTAGACCCTGTCAGAGCAAATCTGAACTTTATGGATTCATTTGGAGAAAAAGATAACCCCTTTGGGTTTGGTCCTGGGACACCCTTGGTGGAGATCAGGTGCTCTTGGGGAGATAAGATGCCTTTTGAGCTTGTGAAAAGCAGGCAGAAATGAATATAAAACATGCATAAATGTCAAGCTCATTTGAATTGTCAGTACATCTGTCAAAATAAACTGTCAAAATTGTTGAAACAAGACAAAGGGACCTGTCAAAAGTGTCAAGAAGACCTCCAAGAGGAGTTGTCAAAAATGCCAGCACCCTGTCAAGGGACATGTCAAAAATGTCAAGAAGCTCTATCAGGAGCACCCATCTCTGGAAATGTCAGGATGTCAGATAATGAAAAGACCTCTTATTTAACTCTTCAAAAAAACATGCCTGAGCATTAGAAGAACATTTCTTACTACGTCATTCTATTAACACAAAACAAAAGTTTTCCAGGATTGGATGACTGCTGCACGATTTATTTCTCAACCCATCCATTATTACAATAAGGAGAGTGCATTTTTTCAGTTTGATTGACAACTATAAGTGAAAGGTTCTTTGGTGTGGGACTATGAACTCTAAAGCTTGTTGCTATAAAGGATTGTCCACTCAAATTAATTTTTTGCTATAATAAAACTTTAGTCAGTTTAAGGTATGTAAAAGTGGAAAATGTGTATTTATTATTTTTCAATGCAGTAAAGCATGCAATGACAAAGGGTATTTGAGAGACATTGGAGAACAGGCAAGGGGGCCATGGGATGCACATAGGTTGACATGGAACATCATGAAGGATAGGCAGAGAGGCATAATCATGCATCGAGGGCATAAGTGGTAATGGATTGGCATGGGTGGAGCACAGAATTGTCTCTGTGTGTGTGTTTGTGTGCGCGCATGTGTGTGTGTATGTGTGTATAGCATTCACAAGGCATCAGGGCTAGAGGGCTGTTCTTTGTTTTATTCATTTTGTATTCAACTTCAACATGGGGCTGGTGTTCTGAGCCAGGTCTTTTGGCCAACTCATGATTCACCCTTGGGAGACTCTGTTCTTGTTCTGGGGTCACCCAACTCACCCCCAGACCTTTGGGCCATTCTGTTATAGGTTTGGTTGCAGAATATGACCTGAGAGTGAAATTCCAGGCCCTAGGCTCTATCAAACAAATTCCATTCCAGAAGTTGCAACTGAATATTAACAACTTAAGTCCATTTGAGCTTGAAGTGGTTTGCCTCACTAATGTGGTGTGAAAATGAATAGGACAAATTTCATTTTCTGATGCTTACTGTCTTCAAATTAGCAGTCACTTGCAAAGTACATGAGAATTATTTGATTTTACAATAATAATTTAACAACAGAATTTTACTAAGTCAGAAATAACTGAACAAATGAAAAACTGTCAGAATGAGCCAAGCACTAGAAAGTTGATCTCTGGAGTTAGTTGTTTCAATTTAGTGACAATAAGGGTCAGCAACTGGTTAAAGCAAACATCCTGTCACTGATGTTCTCTGTTTTGAAATTAATAGATTTTTACACACCTTTGGAGCCAAAGGCCTTTCCACTTTCAATCCACCCTAAAGAAAAATCAGGAAACATAACTGTATTTTATTAATTTAAACAGAGTGAAGGTTCTTTGTACTGACAGAATATGAACAAAATTGAACAACATGTTGTCATCAAATCATAGAATTTTGTGTAGTTACAGTACAGAAGAAAGCCATTCAGTTCACACCAACTCCATGCTGGCTCTCTGCAAGAGTGGTTTAATTTATCCTACTTACCCACTCTTCTCCTATAAAAATATTTTCTCTTTGGGTGTTTATCCAAATCCTCTTTGAAACCCATGAATAAATCTGCTTCCAGTCGCGTTAAGACATTGCTCTCCAGCTCCTAATCACTCATTCGATTAAAGAGATTTCCCTCATGCTGTTTCTTTATATTTTTCAATCAACGTAAATCTGTGTCCAGTGGTTCTCTATCCTTCTGCCAAGAGGAACAATTTCCCTCTATCTGCTTTGTCTAGACACCTCATCATTTATACTACCTCTATTACATCTCCCCTCAAGCTTCTCCTCTAAGGAGAGAAACCCCAACATTCTCCAATCTATCCATGGAACTGAAGTCTGTCATCGCTGGAACTATTCTCGTAAATCTTTTCTGCCCCCTGTCTAAAGCCTTCACAGCTAATGTGCTGTGTCTCAAATTGTACAAAATAATATTGTGAGGCTGATCAAATGTTTTATATAAAGTTTAGCACAACTTCTTTGCTTTTGTACTAGATGGGGAGAATTCTACCAGCCCAGAATGATATGGGCAATGGAGAGTCAGTGGGAAAGTTGGAAAAATATGATGAGTTCGGAAAATTGGGATTCTTCATGTTAAGAGAAAGCAGTCTGATTTTGCATCTCAGGTTTGAATAGCGAGGTGAGAATCTCAGTGAGTCGGAAGGAATTCATTTGCGTGCATTAGCATCTCATTATTACCTTTACTCACTTTGTTATTATACCAAAATAAAACAAAGAACTGCGGATGCAGTTCTGAAGAAGGGTTACTGGACTTGAAATGTTAACTCTGCCTTCGCTTCACAGATGCTGCCAGACCTATGAACAGTTGGAGGTTCAAGGATTATGGGGAAAGCCAGGAAATGAATGCAGGAGTGTTGGATCAGCCATGATCATATTGCATGTTGGTGCAGGCTTGAAGGGCTGAACAGCCTACTCCAGTTCTTATTTCTTAAGATATGCTGAGTTCCTCAAAACAATTTCTACTTTTGTACACAAAAAAAACAAAAAACTGCAGATGTTGGAAATCATAACCAAAAACAGAAATTGCTAGATAAACTCAGCAAGTCTGGCAGCATCTGTGGAGAGAAAGCAGAGTTAACATTTTGGGTCCAATGACTCTTCTTCAGAACTGATTGTGTTGGGAAAATGTTGGTATATATGCAAAGATGGGTGGGGGACGGTGGGGGGGGAGACTAAATGGTAGGTGGAGATGAAGCTCAGAGAGAGAGAAAAACAGGGGAATTTCTATTTAAATTTCTGTTTTTATTTCATTTTCTGCTGTTTGCTATTCTCCCATGCTGGGGAGAGAAACTAGATGATGACAATTCCTGTCACGAAAGTCAGAGTGGGTATCTGATGGATCCAGATCTATGCTTGCTTGGAATACAATTATCCACTTTAAACTTGCACTTTGGACCATACCAACACCTTGTCTGGTAATGCTGCTGAATGAGGTAAGCAGTGGACAACTGCATGTGGTAACTCACTGGAGCTCACAGGTCAAAACCATTCATGAAATTCTCCAACAACAAAACTAAGCTGATTTTTGATAAAGAAAGGTCCAGACCTGAAACATCAGCTTTCCTGCTCCTCTGATGCTGCTTGGCCTGCTGTGTTCGTCCAGCTCTACACCTTGTTAGCTCTGATTTTTGATAAAATTCAGCTCTATACCTCTATTTATAAACCCTGAGATCCGTTTCTATTTTACATCACATTCTTAACCTGAGCTGTCAAAGGTTTGTATTCATATACCCCCAGGTCTCTTGCGTTACCTTTGGAATTCTACCGTTTGGTTTCTAGTGCCTCTTTTTGTTCCTCCTACCAAAGTGTACTTCTTCACACTTCTCTGCATTTCATTGCCATATGTCCATTCTTTCCACCAACTTATGTCCTCTTGAAGACTATCACTGTCCCCCTCACAATTCAATGGTTCTAACATAGTTCTAAGCTTTGTGTCATCTGAAAATTTTGAGACTGTGCCGTCTGTCGCTACTATACATGTCTGTCATTACTACAGATCAATAACAGCTGCAGTCCCAATCCTGACCTTTGGGGTACTCCAGTCCAAAAAGCAAACCTTCACTGTGATTCTGTGTTTCCTGTCAATCAGTCACCTTTGTATCCATGTTGTCACTGGCTCTTGTATTCCAGGGGCTTCAACTCTGCTGACAAGCCTATTACGTGGCACTTTATCAAACACTTTTTTGAAGTCCATATAGACTATATCAATTACATTATCTGAATTAGTCCTTGAGCACCTCATCAAAAATTTTGATCAAGTTACTTAAACATGGTTTAATTTTTGCTTTAACAGAGCGACACTTGTATAAGTGACTGTTAATTCTGTTCAGGAATAAATTTATAAAAGACTCCTATCACCAAGATTAAACCGATATAGGTGCATTGGTTCATTCTCATATTCTTTCTTTGAACAAGACTATAATATGTAACTTTCCAATTCTTGATATCACCCTTATGTCCAAATTAAATTGGAAGATTATGCCCAGAAGCCCTGAGATTTTTACCAATACTGCAATCAACATCCCTGGCTGCATCACATCTGTTTCTGATGAATTTTCAACTTTTGAAGTACACAATAGCATGCATTGGCACTTTTTCATTTTACTGCAGAACTTATCTTCAAGGTGATGAGGGTACAATACATTGCTATACTGTTAGATGCTAAGGTAATTCCTACGCTACAGATATAGAGATATTAGAAATGAGCTAATATTGAGAAGTAGTGAGCTAGTTGGATAATTTATCTCCTTTTGTTTGAATTTGTTATTAGGTTACTTTTCCAAGGTAATTATGTATTTAGAAAATGCAGGCTTACCTTTACCTCTTAAAATAAATTTCAAAGCAACATCTCTAGCAATAACATGTCTTTCTTACCACATGTATTTTAATCAACTGTTCTTTTACGGCTTTCCTTCATTCACATTTAACTGGGAACAGAACTGTGTGGTGTGATGTTTATTACAGCCACATTAGTGCCATTGTTAAAATAGTAGCCAGGGAATTTCCCACATCAAAATATTTCTTATTAAGATATCAGTTGGAATTCTCTTTCTGACTTCCACAAACAGAGACAATTGAATCCAGATGAACATGCTCCCTATATCTGTCTAACACAATTAACGTAAGTACAGGTTATGCATGATAAAAAACGCTAATTTACATATTATATTTACACAATGAATTACTTTGAAGGACAGTAATTGTTGGTATGTGAGTAAATGTGACTTCTGCAAGCAAGCATGGGATGGATGACGAACTGGATGGACTTTTAGAAGAGAAGATAACTTTCAAACACACGGAACTAAACTCTTCTTCAAATTGTTTCAAGTGACCTTGAATGTCCACTTAGATCAGCTCAACATATAGTCGGTAACTCAGTTTAAGTCCTGATTCAAAGAAGTGCCCCTCTGACGGAGAAACACATCATAATACTGAATTATATTGCCAGTCTACATTATGAGGTTAAGCAGCTGATATAGGTTCACACCCAACTGTTCTGATCGAAAGGCAAAAATGCCGTCAACTACACTGAGATGAAAAAGATTGAAAATACTCTTTTGAAAAACATTCTCTGAGCTTATACCTTAATAAAACATGAATTATTTCCTCACCATTTCCAGAGGCCGCAATGACTTGACATTGTTCGACATTACTTCAGTTGATGGCGGAGCTGAACTATCACTGGCTTCTAGCAGAGCATAGTGACCATCAAAATTTGGCTTATAATAAGCAAGCCAACTAGTAAGGAACAAGAATTTTGAACAAGGTTAACTAAAGATTAGTAACAATTTCATACAGTATAGATTGTCTGTAATAATGATGAGGGTTGTAAATAATTTATTATGAACTCAGTGAGAATGATCACAAAAGAACAAACAGCACACTGCCATATCATGCCCTTAATGGTCACTAGGTTAACCTACAACATTGCACACTATAGGTCAGAGCTGCTAATACAGTTCATAAATTAGAAAACTGATGCAATATCAGCTGTATAAATTCAACCGTGTTCCAGCTAGAAAGGTTAAATTGAAATTCCAGCCCAATTAACACTTAGTTGAAACAACCAGATCATATGTCAATTTCTCCATTTGAAACATAAGAGAAGACTGACTATTCACAAAGGAACAAAACTAAAATATTATGGATTCTGTAAACCTGAAATTAAAAACAGAAAATATTCAGCACAATAGGTTGTGGAGTGAGAAACCGAATTAATGGTCGGGAATTCCCTGTAAAATTGAATGCTGGTCAGGAAGATCAAGCCAGAAATCTGCAATTCTGACATAATTTGTCTGCTACACATTTGAACGGAATTCCTGAATCCAAAGATCTTTTTAAAACATTGACTAAGAAACACAGGAATTTGTTTGAGCTTCAGTTACTATAATCTACCTGCAGTGAAAAGATTCATTGGGTGAATAACTACAGGCCATACATTGGTCTTTTAAATGTTTGAGAACAAGAAAAAATGTGGAATGTAAAACAGACTACATAAAATGCAAAACATGTTTAGCTTACTTACATTCCTGAATTGATAACAATAGACGATACAGTGGGTGTTATTCCAAATTCCTCTAAGCAGGTGACTTCACTGTGCAGGTACATTTTAATCTCATTTTGCTGAGTTTCTTGGAAGATTGCAATCTCTGGAATGCAGTGATTCTGGAAAGAGAAATATAAATACTAGGCAGTTAGTTTATTTTGAATTGGAGTCTGTTGTAGCATTGTGTCAGTGGTGAAGTGCAAGTTTAAATTGCCAACTCCAGGCTGCAAAGTCACTGTTCCTCTGGGATGCATTGGCAGATTGGGGATAGGGGAAAGGTGTACAATTGGGTGACATGACTGCAGCACTGTGCCTGCTAAATGATGTATGGGCGTACTTGCTCATGATGACGGGTGCTGCCATCATCCTCTTTAAGTACAGGAAACCACAAAGTCTTCTTGGTTTAGCGTGGAAGAGGAAAACCATTTCCTGGTCTAATGAAAATAACCTCTTGTAGTTAACAAGATATAGGTTATTGATACTGGCAGCTAGTTATGGGTTACATTGATGAGATGGACGTTATTTCAATGGCTTTGAGGAGAGCCTGATGTTAGGTCTCACTCCCTTGAGATCCTTAGCTGTTCTGTCTACATGTCCACATGCCATCACCATAGTGGGTGTTGCTTATGGTGCTCCACAGTATTAACCTTTCAGACCCATATATAACATGACATACACCTTCTCTTGCCCTCTATAGGTATTTTACCAACAGGAATTAAGTGTTGGCCAGCTCACCCACTTGTAGATCTGAATTTGGATGATATAATTAGTAAGTTTGCTAATGACAAAAAAAAACAGTCTGACTCTAAGTTAATACACAGCCAGATTCTAAACAAGACCTCACACCTAAAATGCATTGTCTGCCCTGAGATGTCACCTCTGGTATACTGATTAAACCTTTAGTTATCTCGGGGCAATGACTTGAAAGAAATTCTGGGGTTTGCATATTAATCCTTTCTAACTGATTAAAGATTTAACAGCCATCTTAGGTTTGTTCAATACATTTGCATCAGTTCTATGACCCTTTGATTTTTTGCTTATACATTCTGTGACTGATGCCGCCTCTCTCACTGACACCTGAAGAAGGAGCAAGACTCTGAAAGCTTGTGTCTTCAAATAAACCTGTTGGACTATAACCTGGTGTTGTGTGATTTTTGACAAAAAATTGATGGTGTTGGTGATAGTGAGGAGGATGGTCTCAGGCTACATTCTGATATTGATTAGCTGATAAACTGGGCAGAGCAATGACAGATGGAATTTGATCCTGATAAGTGTGAGGTGATCCACTTTGGAGGTCCAACAAGGGAAGGATATACACAATGAATGGTAAGTCCTTAGGGACCACTGAGGAACAAAAAGACCTTGATATACAAGTCCATAGATCCCTGAGGTAACAGCAAAGGGTGGTGAAGAAGGCATACAGGATTCTTGCCTTCATTAGCCAGGGTGTAGAATTTGGAAGCAAGGAAGTCTTGTTACAACTGTATAAAACATTGGTTGGGCCACAGAGGAACTGTGTGCAGTTCTGATCACTGTGCTATTGGAAGGATGTGGTTGCACTGGACAGGGTGTAGAAGAGATTCACCAGGATGTTGTCTGGGATGAAAAGTCTCAGTTATGGGGAGAGACTGGATAGGCTGAGTTTGTTTGCCTTGGAGCAGAGTAGGTTGAGGAAGAACCTAATTGAGGTATACAAAATTATGAGAGGCATAGATAGAATAGAATGTGAGAATCTCTTCTCATGGCAGACATGTCTAAGGCCAGACGGCATAAGTTTAAAATGAGTAGTAAGTGGGTTAGAGGAGATCTGAGGAAACTATTTTTTCATCCGATGGTGAAAGATATATGGAACATGCTGCCTGAAAGGGTAGTGGACAATATTTAAGAAGTATCTGGATGACTAAAAATGTCAGGGCATGGTGGTCTATGGACCAAGTGCAAGTAAACAGGATTAGTATAGTTTGGTTTCTATTGGTTGGCACAGACATGGTGGGCCAAAGGGCCTGTTTCTATGACTAACAACTCAGGCCATTAAGAGGCCTCCAGCCATCTCAGTTGGGGAAATCACATAAGTGTCCAAGCCAGGATTTTCATTCAGTAAAATGTGGTGAGCCTTGTTCTTGACATATGTAATACCCTTGTTTCCTCTATCCTCCTGTCCTGCCAATCCTAGACTCCTCAACTAACTCTCCTTAACTCTGGGGACTGCCAGCCTAGCCCTACCAAAAGCCTAGACATACCTGCTTCTCATGCTTTTGTGGCTTCTCTTCTTCAATGGACACACTGTAGTCCCAGTAGTGTTCACTGCTCTTGGAGGCATTGCTGGAACATGATTTGTTGGCAGCTCTTGGAGACATGACTTCCTCTCCAATGAGAGCAGAAAATCTGTCTAATTGAGGGTTTGATGGCCGTTAAATGGCACAGGATGAGCCCTACAGCACAAGCAAGCTTGTCAGGGACATTTACACTGGGGAATCCAGGTAAAATGAGGCTTCTTGTTTCTAACCTGAACAGCAGTTGAAGCTTTAAGGGTGGAGGAGAAGGAGCCTGGCTGCCCTATAGCTGTAGCATTCAGGTTGGTTTGTCAATGCTTGAACAATTCTAAATAGGCATAAAGCTGCCTAAGTAGGCAAATATGCCCTTAAGCTCATGGTGCCTGCTCATGACACAAACCAGATTTGCCTCTACACCGGTCAAGACCTGACTTGGCAGTCAGCCCAATATGGAAGCTAGCTGGTTGTCCAGCCTCCAACCACCAATGGTGAGCAGCCATGCGGTGCCCGTCTGTAGCTTATGAGCAATCTTTAAATGAGACTTGAAGCTTAAAAAGATTTGGGTCTCCTGATGCCAACTTGTGGCAGGTGAACCTGTTGCTTCACCTAATTGCCACCCATTTCAGTCATGTTTCCAACTCTCCTTGCAACAATATATCACACATGCCAAGCAGAACACTCAGGCAGGACTTTCTATCATCAGGAGATGAAGATAATTCCAACATTAGCATTGTCTATTACAGGTTCCAAGTGACTGTAGTGACTTTTTATCTATAACCACAATCAACAGGGGAGTGGGCCAACGTAACAGAAACCCATCACTCAAACTCCTTCAATGAAAAGCGCATGCAGTATACCTTAATGAATACTGCCCACTGGCTGTGACTTCAATAATCATGAAGTGTTTGGAGAGGCTGGTCACGGCCCTCATCAATTCCAGTTTCCCAGCCTGTCTCGATCCCTTATAATTTGCCTACCAACATAACAGGTCCACAGCAGATACCATATCCTTGGCCTGGACAACAACGACACCTGCGTCAGACTCCTGTTCGTTGACCACAGCTCCACCTTCAACACCATTATCCCCTCCAGACTGGTCTCAAAACCCCATGACCTTGGTCTCGGCTCCACCCTCTGCAACTAGATCCTCAACTTTCTGATCCACAGGCCACAATCAATGAGGATAGGTAACTGCACATCCTCCACAATAACACTCAACACTGGAGCCCCCTCAAGGATGCACCCTCAGCCCCCTACGGTACTCCCTGTACATCCACAACTGTGTTGCCAAATTCTGAACGATCTACAAGTTCGCTGACGACACCACTGGAGTAGGATGGATATCTAACAATGAGGAATCAAAATACAGAAGGGAAATAGCGGGCTTCGTGATGTGGTGCAATGATAACAACCTCTCTCTCAATGTCGGCAAAACTAAAGAACTGATCGTTGACTTCAGAAAGGAAGGAGGAGAACACGCTCTCATCTCCATCAACGGAACTGACGTTGAGAGGGTGGAGAGCACCAAGTTGCTCGGAGTGACGATAACCGACAACTTGTCCTGGACTTCCCATGTTGATGCAACAGTCAAGAAGGCACAACAATGCCTGTTCTTCCTCAAGCGACTCAGGAAATTTGGCATGTCCATAAGGACCCTCACCAACTTCTACAGATGCACCATAGAAAGCATAATGTCTGGGTGCATAACAGCCTGGTATGACAACTGCCCTGCCCAGGACTGTAAGAAATTACAGAAGGTGGTTTGCACTGCCCAGACCATCGCAGAAGTCAACCTTCCATCGATGGATTCCAGTTACACGGCTCGCTGCTGCGGAAAGGCTGCCAACATCATCAGAGATGCATTGCTATCCGGTAATGATCTCCTACACCTCTTCCGTCAGGCAGAAGATACAGAAGCATGAACATCTGCACCCGCTGGTTCAGGAACAGCCTCTTCCTGGCCGTTATTAGACTGATAAATGGACTCTCTAGCCTTAAATAATGCTGATCTTGCTAACATTGAACTTGCCTAGCGCATACCCTGTGCAATGTATCCTGTATGCCTCTGTCTAAGTGTTTTTGATCTGTACATCCTTGCTTACTATGATCTGCCTGTACTGCTCGTAAACAAAGCATTTCATTGTACTTCAGTACATGTGACAATCAATCAATCAATCAATCAATAATATGTGTGCATTGATATCAGTTTTATATGCAGATGGGGCCATCATATTATACCATAATTCCTGACTCAATAATTTCCTCAAACTGATTTAAGGCTTTGATTCTATAAAGATTCCAATCCCAAACAAAAATACTCTGGGTGATTTGAATGTCTAAAGCATCGTTATCAAATTTTACAGCTCACGACTTGAAATGGAAGAAACTAGAATTTGATTTGAAGGCATGAAATGTTTGTATGACAATTAGCACTCAATACAACACGAGTGAAACGTATTGTTCCCACATTGAGGTTTATTTGAATGGAACACTTCTTAGATTTCAGAAAACTTGTGTTGAAGTAAAATTGACTAACCTAATACAAAGCCACTATTTGTGCAGCTTCTCCTACTCTGTGCTGTGTTATGCTTACCTCTGCACATGACTCACATCTAATTTTCACTTAAGCTTCTTAATAAGCAGGAGTGATATTGCTGAGAGTTGGTGACCACACCATACTCTTTATAGTCTAATTTATCCAGCTTCAAGCTGTTTCTGTGATAGCAATTCCCTCATAGATTAAATAATTTCTTTCATACCTTAGCTGGATGCAAGAAAAATGAAACTCAAGCTGAGATAAAGAACAGGAATTAGGAGAAAGGGAAGATATTAGAAATTCTGCCAACTTGAATAGAAGCTAATTTTACTTTAGGAGCTGTTCTAGTGCTCCAGTTCTACATGAAATGCTGTTCACTTGAGATTGAGATAAAAGCATCCCTAATAAAGACTGATTTTATTGTATCTTTAATTCTTTGCTCCAAATGCAAAAGGTTCAGCAAGAAAATGTCACATTTCTTTTAATTAAAGTTTTCTTGGGATTAGAGCAGAAACATTGCATGACCTTTTTAAAACCTAATTTTGAAATGCCACTTACATTTGTAATTTTTAAGAAAGTTAATTTACACAAATCCAATTAGCTACAAAGACACCTGTTTTGTTTCCAGGCTCAGTCTTATACTATTTGTTGCACATATTCCTTGTCAAATGTAATTAAATATACCTAAGTTTCTTAAATAACATCTGATACCTAGATTTCCTTCAAGCTCTGACTCTTTGATCCATCTCTGCAAATGTGGATGGGAAAATTTACCCTTTCATCTTTTGAAAGATGGGGAACTGCTCATTTATTGTACTGTCACTTTTTAACGTGGTGTTGGCTCACCTTTACAATCCTTTTTATGGAACCAATCACAATTTTTACAGCAGTGGGTTGCAAGCTCTTGTCAACCCAGAGTTCATCTAACTCTCTGTGTCCCTCTTCCAGTACATATGTTTGGCCTTGAAATTCAGGTTTTTCATACAATATCCAACTGGAATGAGAAATTTTTTTTAAAAATTAGATACATTACAGGGAAAACACAGCACAAGCAAAGCCTTCCCAGAGTAATCAACTTTATTAAATCTGTCAGTTTGATTTCTTTTGGTATAAAACAGGTGGATCTGCTTGTACCATTGCTCGAGTTATGCTGGGAAGAAATTTATGGGCACATAGCTAATCCCGCTAGAAGAAAAGTCGTCAATGTGCGACCAGCCAGAGAACAAACCTGCCTCACAGCCATAAAGCACTGCAGGCATGCTAAATGATTGTAGAGGGGGTCTCCTGACTCTTATTGACACTGCCAGTGAACTGGTTGGCTAGCGGTTCCAGCAAACTCAGCAGTACTGGAATTCCTTAATGAGTGCTGCTGGGACTGTGGCCCTGCCTGTGAAGGAGGCCCACTGGAATCCTATGTCAAGCTAAGTCACAATGCTTTGGCACGGGAGGGTTTGTCCATCATTGGGTGCTTGGTTGGGGGTGAAGGTGGAAATGTGGTGGAAAGGTGGGTTTTGAAGTATAACTGGGTAGGAAGGAAGGGGGGAGTACTACCTTCTTGGAGTGGTGACCCCAATGGGCAAAGTCCACCCTCTGAAAATCAGAACCCCTTCCTTCCTTCCATTTAAAAACTCTTATGAAACACAACTGCCCACTCCCATGTGGCTACTCACACCAACCGTATTGTAGTCTGGGCAGGGTATACTCGGGTCAAAATTGCTTTTAACAAACTTCCAATTTCACCCCAGCCATATTATCGGGATGAGCTCAGGTAATGGGCTAGCCATCTGATCTACAGACAATCGCCAGTTACAAAGGGGTTCTATTCCTCACTATGTTCGTTATTTTGATTTGTACACAAGTTGGAACACAATACCGTACAATACAAAATACCATTCATAAATTCAGCAAAGGTTTGTATGTTGGATCCTTGAAATTAATATTCGTATAGGATCTCATTCATAAGTATGAGCTTTGTAAGTCAGATGTTCGTAAATCGGGCACATCCTGTATTTTACGTGACCCTCCTGCTGGAAAACACCCAGTGGGGTCATATCATATCTAACCCATTGCTTTTACCTAGCACAACTGCACTATGGATCTATGTTTTGACTGGATCTGGGTTAAAGAAACACCCCTATTTCACCTTGTTTCTAGAACAACCAGTGGGATGAAAATTAGAGTTTGAGCTTCCAAATTGAAATCATTTCAATTTCTGTGCCTCACTCCAAGTGTCTTAGTGACAATTAGTTCTTTTGTCTGCAGCAAATCTGAAGATCCATTTGTACAAGCTGTAGACATATCCAAAGGCCAACCTAAAAATTAATAAAGGAGGCACAACAAAGTATGTTATACCAGAGATTGTGTAAAATCAGGAACAAGATCATTAACAAGATTTTATAATAAACATATGTTTATTATAAAGCAAACAAAACAAAATTTGGAAACTGGATTGATAATTAACATTTTACTAAAGTATACATACCTGTTTATTATACACGGGACAGGATGTGAAATAGAAGCATTTCAAGAGGGCTTAAGGAAGCATGACGGATGACAGTATTTATTCACTGTAATATAATTGTACTACAGTGTAAAGATTTAAATAGAGAAATAGTATGTCCAGGTTGCTTTTGACTGAGCTATGGAATACAGAGGATGTACTGACACTATAGAATGAACTGTCAAAGAGAGACAGGGAAATTGAAGCTGAAATTTGTTGACAAATTAGAACATTGCACATTAATAATAGTTTACAGTAGGACATGCTAATTTTAAAGGGCCACAGAGATGAAAGAGAAAACCACGTATAGGGGAATGTGAATGGCAAAAGATATAAACAAGTATTTTGTCCCAGGCTTCAATGAAATTAAAATCAGGAACAACACAAAATAGCCTGCTGACTCACTATCACCAACTTACACCATTGCTCAAAGAAAGATTTATCACAGTCCATGTTAGTAAACACTACACTTCAGAAAATCTTCACATTTCCTATTTTCAAAACTATTTTCTGTAAAGTATGTTAACTATGTCTCTTTGATTCCTGACAGAGGCTTAAATTTAGCAGTTTTAAAAAGAAGTGAAGATTCAATTTACATGGAAGTACTGCTTAATTTATGTAATTGGCTGCTTTCTAAAGCTATGTATGCCAGGCGAGAATTGAATTTTCTTACCATCCTCTGACAACCCTTAATGTGACTCCTTCAGAAAAAGTCCAGCTTGTCGCATCAGGCACATCGGTGAAGATTTCATGTTTATTTCCATGAAAGTTTAATTTATCATAAATAACCACCTAAATTTAAAAAAAAAGGTTTTAAATCAGATAGTAAACAGTTCCTGGAGATGTAAAGTGTTTCTAAAAGCAATGACTTACCTTCCCTGGTCTTGGGTTGATTTTCAAACTTTTGTTCCCAACAAGATCCTGTGAGAAAATGGTGCAATATAATTATGAATTTAATCATTTGGATATTTCATGACATAGTCCTCAGTGTTAAAAATGTATGCCACTTTTTAAAAGTAAGTCTAAATAATTAATTTTAACACTAAATATTCTTATATATAGGGGTTTTATTATTCATGACTATTTAATCTTCTATCCGAGGAAAGCAGAAACTAACTGATCTATATGCACAGGATCTATTTGCTAGTTACAGATTGACTTGGACAATGAAAATGGGATAAAGACATTTTTATAACCTCATGGTGCAAATACAAGGAAATATGACTAAAACAAGGCAGCATTTTACAATTATAAAATATAAATTGCATTTTGGCTCCTTAGCAGTTGCTTTCTTTGTGCAATGGGCAAATTTTGGTCTTTTAGTGACTGGTTGTAGAAACAGTGGACATCCAAGTAGCCTCAAAGTAAGTGAGTGCTAAGGGAGCAAGCAAGCAGCCCTGAGATGCAACCTTGTCCGATGCATGAGCCTGGTGGCTGTCCAATCGCACACAGTGTCCTTGTAGTAACATTGCAATGACATGTACTGGCACATTTCAAAGTGCAGCATTGAAGGGTAGATGTGAAATGTAATTGGATTGCAGATGTGACATGGGGTTGTGGTGAGCTTGAACGTGTGGTGTCCAAAGTCCGTGGAGACAAGATGCATACAGTCACTGCCTGCGGAGATGCACCAAGTGCTCCAGAGGTGTAAGCAGCAAGCTGAACTTGTCAGGTATCCACATTGACTTTCATGTCAGGGCTTATTGGTATCTAGTTCCAATCCAGTGAGTAAGGGAATTGGACACTACATATTAATGAGGTGAGATTATGTAATAATGAAGACAATAAAGAAGGAGGACATCAATGAAACTTGATGATAATGGAAAATCCTTGCTAATAGGCATCTTGCCACTCACTAGTGAGAATCTCATCTCGACATCCAGGACATGGTTGGAGAATGCAACTTGTTGGTCTTGCCGTTGAGAAAGGTCTCTCTGGACATCTCACTTGATTTTCCCAAATATCTCATCATACACCACATCATTCAGGGTCTGGGATAATTCTCCCCTTTAAGATTAGAAGCTGCTATATCTATTCAATATTAAGGAATAATAAACAACTTTACTTTGAAGTTTAAAGCTGAAGATAATTCTTCACTTTCCCTTTTCCTCAACCAGTTTACTTTGAACCCGAACTCATAGTGTGACATCAAGCCACGTATAATAGATGGTGAAAGTGATGGAATACATTGCCTAGAAAACTGTGGTAGCAGTGACAAGCAAGACACAGATTTTAAATTACCTGGAGAAGAGAGGTAGGAAGAGAAAAGAGACTTTTTTTCAAGAAATATTGTTCAGCTTTAGGACCAGCGAGTGGTTTAAAAAACCAGAGGACTGAACAGCAACTCTGAAGGAAACATCTCTGAACAACAAACTCCTCCAAAGAAACTATCAGAACATTACAACTTGCAAAAAAACTTTTTTAGCCAGATAGGGGAAACAACCTTCTAAAGGGCAGTGAAAGCAGCTAAAGTCAACACCAGCTAAAGGGAGAAATTCAATCTGAGAACTTGTCAGAAGAGGCTGATTATCAGACATCCAAAATAAATTTGATCTCTTAATGGAAAGGACAAAAAAACTTTGGCTACCACATTAAAAGCTAGGCAGACGAGCACAGTTAAAACTTCTAACAGCAAACTAACAAGTTTATGAATTATCTACTCAAAGGTAAAATTAATATCACTAAGTTACTTCTTTAGGTTCAGGCTCAAAGAACATCAATTTAGAAAGGAAAACAAAGTGAATAAAAATCATTATTGGAACTTGAAGTCTCAGACCCCAAAGAGTGAAATTTGTGAATTTTTTCTTATTTTAATGATTTGAATGACAAATTCAACATGTACTTGTCAACTGAGAAATTTTGTAAATTTTATTTGTTTAAAATATGCAAGTCTGGATAAAAGAAAAGGGCATAAATCTGATTGTGTTGAATTCAACACAAAAATACCTCAGATGCTGAAGATATTAGTGCGAATGATGTTTGCATGGATATCACTGATACAGTCGAAAAATTATTGAATCTATTCATGTAAAGCCATTTTGAAAAAGTTCTATCTACAGATCCTTTGGAAATTCTTCACTCAGCTTGGAAAAAGAATGTCTTCGTTTCTACAAAGATGCCATATAAGTAAACTAAAACCTAACTTTATATTGAATTTAGCATTCAAAACAGCAGAAACGTTAACAGCTTTCTATTTTAGTACTTCAAAAATAGTCTTTATAACAACAAAGATTCAACAGCTTTAATCAAGTAAGTACCACAAGTCATCAAGCAACTTCAAATGCCTACATAAAATCAAACAACGTAACAATATTTACCTTAATCAATCTTTCGACAAAGAAAAATTAAACTATGAGATCCATTTGATAGATCAACGAATTGGCAAATATGTAAAGCACAGTTCTTAAGATTCTGAACAGCTTTCTCATGGCACAACAAATCAAATACAGAAAAGGTTGAGACACTTTCCTATGTTGAAAAAGCATCAGATCATGTGTTACATAGATAACAGATTAGTGAGGAACAAATTACACTTGACAAACTCATAACATCTGATTAATATTTCTACTCAAGAACAAGTAGGGCATTGGCAAATCACACTTCAACAGTTAGTTATCATCTCATAGTGCATACTGTTCAGTAGTGAAATCATCTGAACAATGGAAACCTACAGGAATAGCTGATTTGTGACAGAAGTATCATTGGCCTCTTTGGTAATCAGTTACTGAACAAAGGGAAATTAACTCTAGAATGAGCAGTCTAAATTATAGTCTATTCACAGGCTAGAAAACCATTCAAGAAGCATGATATCGCAAAAATTCCATTAAATGCAGGAGGTTCTACAGGGCATATTGTCTACTTAAAGCATTAAAAACTACGTAACTAGAGGGACATAAGCCTCTAATTTGACAAATCAATGTGATTACTAAGCAATATAATTCTACAATGCCTTGTCACAGGTGTAGTTCCAAAACTTCACATCAGCGAAGACAAAGCTGTCCAGCCTTCCAACAACAATATATTTATTGAAACAAAAGAGGTCACTTCTCAATGATATGCTGCAGTCTGAAGAATGTACTAAGCAGCAAATCAAACCATTCATACCTTGGAACAGAATGTTGAAGAACATATCAATACTGCAAGGGAACGAAGTCCTCTGCATGAAGAAGAAAGATGATTGGAGGGACTACTTTGTTTCTTCCAAGAAAACCGATAATGGAATCCGATACTAACAATGGAGAAGTATGACCATTTTGCAATTCTCATACACTCCTGCAGTTACACCACTGAAAGTTCCTTCACTCAAACTGATTGAATCTTGAACAGAAGTCAGGGGAGGAGATGCAAGATCACCAACATTATCTTCAAAGTTTCTCTACTTGGTCATAAACTTTCCTGATCTCCCTATTGAAACAAATGACTCAGGTCAAAGACTTCAGCAGTGGGAGGAGATATAGGGATAAAATGTACAATATGCTTGTTTTTAAGTCATGACCATTTCTTTCACCGTAGCATGTGGATGAACAGAGTAAAAATATGGATGACGATTGAAACAAAGTATGAATTGGAGCATGTCTATACAGGCAGGGAAAGAATATTCCTGCAAGTGTGGACCCAGAGAACCTACATGCAATACCTTATGGTCAACTGCAATAGAGAGCTGGGAATATCTTAGGGAAAGAATGGAATGTTTGTTTGGGGAAACATTTTTTTTCAAAACAGGAAGAGACAGTTAAAGGGATATTAAGAAAATATGTTGTTTAAACTCAACATTCATATGTTATGCGTTAATTGAAAAAATATCCAAATTGTTAGGGTCAGAACCAATTTATGTTCTTACAAAAAGCTCACTTTAATAGTGTAATTGTGCTGTGTGTGTGAAGCCAGTGCACATGGATTGGTGCTGCAGGTTTCACATTGATCAATCCCACACTGCATTGCTGGGCAGAGCGCCAAATAGTAACCAGATATTTCACTCAAGGAAGGAAACATCAGAACAAATTGTCTCAACCTGCTGCCTTTGGACACATTTTGTACCACAGGGCTCTCAAACATTAGGGGACAGTTTATGCTCTTTCTTTCTTTGCTGTACAGATATTGCATGTCCTGTGAAGTTTAAAACTGGGCCAGAAGAAACATTAATTCAGAATGAATCTTATCCTAAATGTAAAGTAGAAAATAAAGTGCCATACCTTTGAATCTGATGAACATTTTAACAGCTTGGAGTCTTGATTTAGTTTATGTTGCGAATCAGTCAATATTTCACAAGTACTTGCTAGTGATGCTTCTTCAATATTTGCTAAGAAATTCTTAGATGACTGAAAATATCTGTAGAATACACTACCTTCTGCTGCAGAAGACCTAGGACCATGGGATGTTTTTGAATCAAACACACATGTTTCTGTCTGAAACTGTGAAGAGAGTTCTTGATTTTCATTCATCTCCTGAGACATTGCAGTAGATTTGTTCAAGTTGTCATCGGAGGGGCTTGTGCTCACTTCTACTGCAGGAACAGGACTGGTTGGATTTTGTTCCTCTTCCTCAGCCTCTTGAACTATGTTTTGTCTTTGCACAAAGGGCGAAGACACTGCTGTAGTACGTTCAGGTACAGATGTAATGGGGTCATTAGAATTGTGGTGTGTTATCAAAGTTTGTGAATGGGTGATACCGTACACATCTACTGCTGCTTCATTTTCTAACTCCTGTTCTTCATATATTGGTGGTAAACCAAACCCAAAATATTTCCAACTCCTAAAGCTGTGGCTGAGTGATGGGTCTGGGATCAATGCTTCCTGTTCTAAAAATTCCGGGTCCATTTCTTTCTCATTATTCAGATGATTGTCAATTATTTCTATGCCTTTTGTCACTTGACCATTTTGTATGCCCTCAAACAAGTTATCCACAATGGTCTGTGCATCAGAAATTTTTGTATCGTCCTCCTCCACAGTTTTCAAACTTGCATTAATGAAATAACTTGGATTAACAGACTGACTGGATTTACTTTTCTCAAAGTCAGACATTAAAAGTTCTGGAACACCATGTGATTCAGTTTTGGTGACAGATGTAGCTTTAAACAAAGCAGAAATGCTCGGTAGTGGATCAGCAAATTCACCCTGATCTATTTTTCCTGCAGAAGGTTCCTGGGCCATGGGTACAGAGACTTGGTTGTCTGTTCTAAATATTTCAAAAGGTGCTTCTGTCAAGGAATCTTTTGCAGGATCCGGTTCACTTACTTGATGATCACTCATATTGATTTCAATTGTTTTATGTGTGGATTCTGTGATGCCGGTTTCATATCCTGTTGTGGTAAGATTTAAGAGGCCTGTTCCTCCCTCCTGGTTTATTATATCTTTAACAGGGTGTACCAGTGCAGTGTCAGTGTCCTCTGGCAATAACGGTACTGTACTGATATTTTTCTCATGTGATTCCATCATTATTGAAACACTTTTCTCATCAGCTCTGTGGATTGAAGGACCATATTCAGAAACATTTTCATGTGTTACCAGAGGCGAGTCTTTACTCTCTCCTCCAGGGATCTCTACAGAATTACTTTCAGACTCGTCTGGTACGTCTGAGTCTACCACCACCTTTAGTCTCTCATCCTTAACATCGAGTGTCTTCCTTAATTTTCCAGCTTCTTGGTTAATTGAATTGTTCATTGTGAAAGGAATTGTGCTCTGATTTAAGTCAATACCTTTAGCCTTATCCATTAGCCTCATATTGTCAATGAAATCTGGTCCTGTTTCAGCAGTAATGACATTCTCTTTGCTTCCAATGCTACTCGTTTGGGCACCTGGTGTCACTGGCTCTGTGAAAGACACTGGATCTACAGCAGAGTTTGCTTCTGATGGTAGGGCCATGTCACCCTTACAAGCTGTTCCTGAGTCTGATGGTGGCAATTGTACAGCATCAGGTCCCTGAATGATTTTAAACCCATCCTCAGATGAAAGCTGAATTTTCTGTATTTTTCTTTTTGTCATTTCTTTCAGGGATCTAACTGAATCAGACACCAAGCTATTGGAGCTTGTCTGCATTTCAGAAAGTGTTTCAGTTCCATCTTCTTTCAATGTTGTGTTTTGGTTCATGGAGTCTGCTTGGTCAGCTGACAAACTGTACTGGCTTACTTCAGACTGGACAGAATCTGGCTGGAAACTGGTTGCTTCTGGAGTTGTTACACCTGTCTTAAAATCAGACATTGCACTTTCCTGGGAAACATTTGATTGGG